TTAAAAATTTGAAAAACACAATCTATGATATAAGTAAAATGAAACAAGCAGAATTTAATGGGGTATAATCACACCGAGATGAACTGTTCAATGGGGAGGGAGGGTTTAAAAGTATTTAATTTATTATTTCCATACTTTGTTCCTCCTCTAATAAGTAGGAAAAAAACTTACACAAATAACTATAATACAAGACAAAATATGATTATAAAGAGGTTAAAAGGCTAGAACTGTCATATTCTATCATTCTAGGAAATGAAAACATAGAATGCTAAGGTTAGGAGCTTAACTGTATATATAATGTTATTTAACAATAGTTTTGGAATTGGCAACCAATTCCTGAACAGAACCCTAAATGCCCATGCCATAAGACAGACAAGTGGGACCTCATCAAACTAATGAGCTTCTGCAAAGTAAAAGAAACCATCAAGAGAGCAGGGAGACAGCCCACAGAATGGGAAAAAATATCTGCCAACTGTATATCTGACAAAGGTCTAACATCTAGGATCTACAAGGAACTCAAATGCGCCGCAAGGAAAAAAACAAACAGCCCCATTAAAAAGTGGGCAAAAGACATGAATAGCCAACAGACACATGAAAAAGTGCTCAGCCTCACTCATCATCAGAGAAATGCAAATCAAAACCACACTGAGATACCAGCTAAACACAGTAAGAATGGCCATCATTAATAAAACAAACAACAGATGCTGGCGAGAATGGGGCGAGAAAGGAATGCTTCTACACTGTTGGTGGGAATGCAAATTAGAGCAACCTCTTTGGAAGACAGTGTGGCGATTTTTGAAAGAACTAGAAATTGACCTTCCATATGACCCAACAATTCCCCTACTAGGAATATACCTGGAGGAACTCAGATCATTCTACAAAAAAGATACTTGCACACGTTATGTTTGTTGCAGCTCTATTCACAACAGCAAAAACATGGAACCAATCATGTTGCCCATCGAAGCTGGATTGGATTTTTAAAATGTGGTATACACAATGGAATATTATGCAGCCATAAGGAAAGACAAACATATGGACTTTCGCAGCAACTTGGATGGATTTAGAGTCGATCATACTCAGTGATCTATCACAGAAACAAAGAACAGAGTACCATATGTTTTCACTCATAAGCAGACCTGGAACAATTATTATAATACTATAAGAAAGGGATTAGCAAACTGAGAATCCCTAGTGGGAAACTGTCAGGGGAGGGAGGGTGGGATTGCCAGTTGAGGAAAACTGCTAGGGGAGGGAAGGGCATACTTCATCAACAAGAGTAACTGCATAATCAACATTTGCATACCTAACCCTGATTGTACTCCACATCTTTATAATAATAAAAAATAAAATTTTTCTTTTAAAAAGAACATAAAGAGCATAAATATACACTCATGGTGCATATCTTTGGGAGAAAAATAGATACATTATATCTGAAAAATTATCCACATATTTCCTAGCTCTGATCATTAAAATGACTCAGCAACAAAAACCAACCCTGTGGCTATTAGCATCTCTAGCATCCAGACTGTGGTTTTTAAATACAACTTTTCATTAAAAGAACATGGTCTCCTTGAAGAAAAGGCTGATTCCAAGTCTGGGGAAGAAATACATAAGATGAACCTGGAAAACTTTCACATGCTAGAAAGTAAGAACACTGTCAAACAAACAAACCACAACAAAACACATCATTGTCACCCCTGGAGAATGCTATATAATCAACTAAATATTATAAATTTTGGTAAATAAAGGGAAGGAATGAAATTTATGTCTTGTCTTTCTTATATAAACTATACCTGAAGGTACAAATAGTTGATATGGGAAAGTTTCTATTTATGAATGCATTGCAGTTTTTAAATTATGAAGGAACAGTAACATTAGAATGTCAACATTTTGTAACCCTTAATGAATTAATAAATTTTGGTAGTGATGGTTACTAACATCACAAAATGAAAGATGTTCTTCTTTAGGGAAGCACCCAACACTAGATATAAAGTAGCCTTGACTCCTACCAAAACCCAATGTACTCCAATCAGCAAAATTCAGACCAAGAAACTATAGGTCAAATGACCAGTTTCTTTAACAACAAAATTTAAGAGAGCTTATAGAGTAAAAGAAACACTAAAGGTATCTTAGCCAGTCATAATATACAGACCTTAACTGGATGCCAATTCAAACAAAGAAACTTAAAAAATTATGTTATAGGGAAATTAACAATGTATGTAATGATACTAATAAAATATTTACTTACACAGGTACAACAATGGTATTTTAGTTGCATTTTAAAAAAAAGAAAGTTCTTATCTTTTACTCGCTCTCTTTCTGTAATACTTATATATGAATATAAAAATATCTGGTATTTGCATCAAAATAAAGGGAATGCAGTATAGAGGGTGGTATAGATGAAATAAAATTAGCTATGAACTGATAATTGTTGAAGATGTATGACAGATACATGGAAGTTCATTATTCTTTTTTTTCTACATTTATATATGCTTGAAATCTCCAGTAATAAAAACAAATGTTTAGGGTAACTAAAGAAAAAGTTCCTAAAATAAGCAAAATTTCTGCAGATAGATATATGAACAGAAAATCATTTGGCATAGCTTATATTAAGAAGTACTAGAAAGGTACTTATTAGCTAGGGATCAATATAGAGCTATGATGAGGTAGATAGATTTGGAGGGTAGATTCAACAGATGTATCAACTACAGCCCTCTCTTTTCCAAGGAATTTTCCAATAAAAAAAGAATATGACAGTTCTAGCCTTTTAACCTCTTTATAATCATATTTTGTCTTGTATTATAGTTATTTGTGTAAGTTTTTTTCCTACTTATTAGAGGAGGAACAAAGTATTTTATTAGGCTTCCGATTATTCAGCAATCATTTAGCATTTATTTGCTGATTTAAAGAGCAGAAATAGAAACTGGTTTAACCACTATGTACCTCCTACTCAATGTCCACAACATATCACTTTTTTATTTAATGCTATCACTTTCTATGACTTCTACTTTACAGCCTCCAAAATGTTTTCACGTATGTTAAACTCATCTTGCAGACCCAAACGTAAGCAATATGAGCACAATTTTCACCAACAAGGAAGCTAAACAGAGACTGGATCAGTGCCTTGTCTAAAAGCACATAACTAAGTAAAAACTGTGGACCTCAAAACCAGGACCTCAGGAACTGAATCCAGAGTTTCCTCTGTTTAATAACGTGCCACTGCTCTACACTGGCAATAACAAGAATCACAGAGTGGACAGGTCCAAATCATCACCATTTTAAACTAAGCTGCTCAAGATTACTCTAGACTTAGGGAGTTTAAAGGGAAGGCACTGCTGAGCTACTTATCTAGAATAATATCTGCTACTCTAAAACCAGAATAAAGTACTACAGTAAATTTATAGTAGAAAAATGTTTCTTTTAGTCCCTACTACTACCATCAATTTAACCATGACCTCAACCAAGTTTTCGTAAGCCCAAATAAAATACTGGAATCAGAATTTAATTCCTAACACTAAAGTCAACAGGAATCCTGGACTCCTTGCCAAAGTGGTCTAGCTGCCAAAAGTTCTTAAAGAATTCCTACTATTAATGTTCCTGCTTTGGTGCCCATTTTATTATTCTGAAGTTTAAATTTTTAATAATTAAGTGAAATTTGAAAATCCTAACCATAAAACATTTAGAGTCAATGTCACTTTATTTTCTGGTGTCATTTCAATAAAGGGTAAAATTTAAATATATATATATGTATATTTAGATATCTGTTCTTTTTTGTTTTTGTTTTTGCTTTTTTTTGAGTTGGAGTCTCACCCTGTTGCCCAGACTGGAGTGCAGTGGCCGCTCCCGGCCACCGCAGCCTCGACCTGCTGGGCTCCGGCGATCCTTTCGCG